TCGGTATCTCTGCACTCCCTCTCTAATAAGCCATAGAGGCGTCCTCGGTTTAGGAGGGAGCGGGAAGTAAATAGAGGCACCGGGCAACCTTGAAGGTAGCCGAGCCATCAAACAGCGAAGTGGAGGCGGTAAACCTCTCAGCTTGCTCGGCGAGTGTCGCAGCCAAGGGGAAAGTCGGGTGTTATCACAAACGACCCCCAGCTTTAACAAAGACCAGCATCTTCACTTTCACTCCATGTTGATGTTGGAAGCCTGATAGAAAAATAGGTACTCTTGACGACAACATATCAAAAATTCATCGTCTGAGATGACATCTAGGCTGAAGAAGTATTTGAAGACTTCTTCGGCCCGGTGATAAGGTGCCGGTCGAGAGGCCAACTGAAGGTCGAGCGCTATAGTAGACTGGAAGTTGTGGATCTTTAGCCGAAGTGTGGAAAAATAGACCTGCAGCCAGAGTTGGAATACCAAATAAGTCTGTTCTAGTATGGGTCGATCTTGTTGATGGTCGTTTCAGCCAAACAGCGCATGAGGTTGGCGATGATAGCTAAACTAAGTGTTATGGAGTGACCACTAGCCAGGGCTTCAGCCACCGGCATATTTGCGACCAAGCACTTATTTGACTTAGTACAACAGATAAACTTGTTGTATCAGTAAAATAGGAAGGTTTCGTGCTCCCCCTTCCGCAAACTCTCCTCCTCTCGGCCAGGAAAATGGAGGATGAGGGTGTTGTAGTTGAAGAAGTTTTTGTGCAACTTCTTAACTTCTTCTTTTGAAGGCTCTTGACCTTCTTGGCTTAGGGTCTCGATGGCCCATTCGTCGAATAGTGCTTTAAGGTCAAGATTCAACGGGCACCCAAAAAAGGCGGCATCTACTGGGATACCAAAGGGATAAGTCCCAAGGACAGCTAAGATGTCGAGGATGGTGGGGGTCATAAGGCTGAAGGGAAGGATCATGGTGTTGGTGGTCGAGCACCAGAAGCTCAGAGCTGCCATAAGGAGTTTTTTATCCATGGTAATCTTCATGGTCAAAAGTTTAATGGCGTTGTGGATGCTAAGAGCCTCCCATTCTATTTTTCCATCCGTTAAACCCAAGCCGCCTAGGTCACGTTGGTCGAAGGCCAGGCTCCTTGAGGCTTCGTCAGGCACCACTTCAACCAATCAAACCTTTACAGCAAGGGTGTCATGCAGTGGTTTTTGAAGAGGTTGGTGATGGACGATGGCACTGCATCATTGAAAAGTGGTCCCAGGATTCGATGAGTGGCGCTTAAATCACTCTCAAAGTGCAGAGTCTTGACAGTGCTGCGGTCAATGAAGTCTTTGCACTTGTTGCATTCGTCAGAAAGCTTAGAGATGAAGAAGGCCATTGATGAAGACTCGAGGATTTCTGGGTTAAGAGCTTGGGGTTTTCTAGGATTTTGAAAGCAAAATGGCAAGAAGGTTTCAAGGGTTTTGGAAAGTGTAAAGTACAAATGGAAAGGATTCAGGTATTTATAGGCATTTTGAAAAGAAGGTTAAATGTTTGATTTTCAAAATTAGGGATAGAATTGAGTGGGAAAGTTGCTAATCATTGTGGATATTCAGAGAATCTAGGCGAAAGGATCGAGGTTTTCGCGATTTGAGGATGCACGATTGCGTGTTATGGCGGGTTTAATGTAAAAGAGATGTTTCAACTGTCCATGTTTTCGAGGGTCATGATTAAAGGCTACTAGGTTAACCAAAAGACCGACACATGGCAAGACGATTGGGAGAATCGAGATCGTGAGATCATGTCTCATAAATACGCATGGTGGTATTTCTTGAGATGGTTCAATGTTTGTTTTAGGTCAGTTTCGCTTCTTCAAGGTCGAAGCTCAAACAAAGGAATGTAGGTCGACGACCTCAGAAGCGAGGGGGTAATGTTTGGGCCCAAAATACTGGTTTGGGCTGAGTTTAGAATTGTTCTCGGCCCAGAAGCGTTGCTCAGGGGTCGATCGTGTCCTATCAGGATGGGGTAGTTGAATCCTGATACAATAAGGGGTGGTTTAGGAGTGAGGTGCTTAAAAAAAACACCCATGAAAAAAAGTTGTGAGGGTTTTAGGTGTTTGGTAAATTGAAAAAAAAAGGCTTATTTTGGAAGCTGCTGTGAGAATAAGCTGAAATCAAAGGAAAAAGCTGAAGCTACTATTTGCAGCTTTGGAAAACTGATTTTTTTTCAAAACACACGGAGCTACAGTGCTCTTTTAATGAAAAGACCCACTATCAGACTGCTTTTTTTTTCCGAAAGCATTTTTACAAAAAAGTTTACCAAACACTCTGCTGATTTATTTCACAGCCGCTTATTCTCACAGCTGCTTATTCTCACAGCAGCTTTTTTTCAAAGCACAGCAATACCAAACCAGCCCTAAAGAGTCTCAACAGGATGAGGATGCTGAAATTTGGGAATGAATGCGGCCTGATAAAAGGTTGAGTTCAAAGTCCTAATAGGAGTAGGACTGGTCGAGATAAGATTGGACCGGGGTAAGGAGTCTTAATCCAAGTATAGTTTTGATTCGATCAGAAGCAGGTTTGCAACTATAAATAAAGCAAGGAGTGTATCATTCAAAGCCCCTCCAATTTAACACACAAACTGCCATGCGCAAATTCTCGCTCTACGCGAAACCTCTCAACAACCTTGAGATTTTTATTTTCTTTTTCGCCGACATATCTTCACTTTGGATAAACAGCATTGTGAAGGCAACTGGTGAACATCTTCAGTTTGTATAAACAGCACTGTCGCCGTAGAATCAGCCGATCGCGAAGCACCTTCAGTTTGGATAAACAGCACTGCGTCAAGGCCGACTGGTTATCTATCCAAGTCTCGGTAGATAAAGACTTTCGGGTCTTTATTGGCAGCATCTCATTAGCCTTTTCGGCGAGATGAAGTGTTATAGTTTACTAGGGCTTGGCACATTGAACGCCTAGTTGTTTTATGATTAGATACTCACAAGTTGGATTTAGAGTTCGGCATTATGATGGTCAAACCACATTTACGATTAAAACGTTCATCTGCTTTGAATACTTGTGTCCATATAGTCTGGTGTCAATTCGGCCTGCTTATACTCTTACAAATATAATCACCGTGACCAAATCCGACGCCAACGGATTGTGAACTTTGTAGAACTAGCAGCCTTGTCTTCAGGCTTTAGAACCCAAAGGTCAAGACGTGTTCCTTCCTCGGCCGCAGTCGCAAGATCGAAAAGTCAACTGCGCGCTCAACACAATATCAACACATTTTACTCCTTGGCCGAGCTCAGCCAAACAGTTAGCATGCCCCGCATGAACCGAAAGACATAGTTAGCTCATTAGTTATTCGGCCTGCGCGCTACATAGGCTTGGTAGTTTTTAGGGTCAACACATGTAAACTCTTACATAAATGAAAACTTCTCTACCTTCATGAATGTAGCCCAACTTAAGGTGAACTGCTTATGCCTTGTGTTTGTTTTCTTATCCCTTATTTCTTGGCCAACTATCTTCACTAGGTGACCGAAGCAATTTTACAAAGATCACTTCTTAACACTTTACGTTGATTCGAAGTTAACTTTTACCTAGAAAAACTTGTGTGGGGCTTTGCTTGCCATTGGATTTTGCTGAGTGGCATTACAATCCAATCAAAACTCGCCACGTGGCAAGTCTTAAATATTATCTTTTATTATTTTTCTTTAATATTTAAAACTCCCATAATTATATTTCCTATTAATTGATATACACCATAAGATTAATTTAAGATTTCATTTTTACTCTGATCTCCTCTGTCTCCCCTTTTTCTTCCTAAATTCTCTCTCTGCCGGCTTTTTCCCCACTCTGTGCCTTTCCTTCCTTCATAAGAATAATGGGAAAGAAAAAAAAACTATCTTTTCCATCTATAATGAAATAAAAATATGATATAAACCTATACTTCTTCTTCTTCTTCTTCTTCTTCCCAAAGGGAAAATTTGGGAAGAAAAAGAGGGGAGGGGGAGAAGAAAAAATAGACATCAAATTAATCTCATGTTGTATATTAATTAGTAGGAAAAATAATTATGAGAATTTTAAATATAAAATAATGATAAAAAGCAATATTTAAGACTTGCCAAGTGGCAAGTTTTGATTGGAACTTCCCAAACGGAAAATTTGGGAAGAAAAAAGGGGAGGGGGAGAAGAAAAAATAGACATCAAATTAATCTCATGTTGTATATTAATTAGTAGGAAAAATAATTATGAGAATTTTAAATATAAAATAATGATAAGAGGCAATATTTAAGACTTGCCAAGTGGTAAGTTTTGATTAGAATGTAGTGCCACTTAGCAAAATCTAATGGCAAGTAAAGCCCCACACAAGTTTTTCTCCAACTTAAGGTGAACTGTTTATGCCTTGTGTTTGTTTCCTTATCCCTTATTTCTCTGCCGACTATCTTCACTAGGTGATCGAAGCAACCTTGCAAAGATCACTATTTAACACTTTACGTTGATTCAAAGTTCACTTTTACCTAAAAAAAAATATTTCATTTAAAGGAAGATGACAAAGTAAAGATAAAAGGTTAGTGGTGATAGAAAATATTAAAATACAATTTTGCCTCGTCTATTTGAGTGATAAATACGAGACAATTAAATGGGCAACATACCACGCTAGCTATCATGGTACCATTTTGTCATTTTGTTTATGCATACAATTTAAGATGCTTTTAGTAGTTTGAAACCAATCATTGATAAAAATTATTTTAAAAGTACTTTATAACAAATGAAAACGGTTTTGGTCAAAACTGTTTTGGAACCAATCATTTATCTTTTAGTTGAGTGGTAATCAAGTCTTTTTGCATCACTTTTTTCTTGAATAATGAAATACAATAAATTCAATTTAATTCATAAAATTTAAAATCAATTCAATCATCCTCAATTTATGTGTTGATTTATTTATTTATTTTTCTTTTGACAATATGTGTTGATTTATTTATTTATTTATTTTTCTTTTGACAATATGTGTTGATTTATTAATTTCAGTCAATTTCTCATTTCCTTCGTTCCGCTCCCCCCCCCCTCTCTCTCTCTCGCTCTCTCTCTCAACTCAACCTTCATTTTGTTCATGCTCCACTTCCGAACAAAACCCTAAGAATTCAACACATACACACACACAGCGACGCGGTGAGCAACTCAGTTGTCAATGGCATGCGAATCGTTGACTTGAATCGGAGAGAGAGGATCTGAGTCGTCGGCGACATAATTTAGATTGTGTATTGACTCGGTCTGATGGGTGCTGCGGGCTCCAAACTCGAGAAGGCTCTCGGCGACCAGTTTCCGGAAGGCGAGCGATATTTCGGACTCGAGAATTTCGGCAATACTTGCTATTGTAACAGCGTTTTGCAGGTTTCTCTTCCGCATCCTTCAAATTCAATCGTTTTATTTGTAAAATTTTAAAATTAGGGTTTTGATTTTATAGAAGTTGTGTAATATTTGTTGTAGAACGAGAATTACGTGAAGCATACGCAAATTTTGAGCTGTGGTTGTTTCGAAATTGAGTAATGGCGCAAGTTAAGTAAATCGGATTGGATATTGTAGTTCAGCTTGGAGAGTTGCCCAATTAGGTGTCGTTTTGTGGCTGTTTATGGTCGTTTAGCTTTGACTTGTTAGCTAGTTTAGCAAGTGCTTGGTTTGGGGTTGAGATTGTTGTAGCATTCTTTAGTAACATTAACCGTCTGCTTCCCAATGTTATCATCAATTTCACAATGCGAGCATTTTCTGTTTTTCTATTCAGTTTTCCAGTGGTGCTGAAAATTTTATTTCTGGGTTCCGGGTGAACTTGTTGAAATGCTAGTGCATCGTGCAATAACCAGCTTCTATTTTGTTTGTCTGAATGGATGAGCACTGGGTGGAATGCCTTTTAGACACTCATATATTTCCAATTTACTGCAATTGGGATTCTTTGTCTTGAAACTGAATATTTTATAAATGAAACCGCGTACCTTTTGAGGAAGATGATGTACTGGGAGTGATGGTGGACACGTGGTAGAGATGGAAATCTTGAAGTCTGATGTTTGGTTGGGTATGCGACCGGATTTTTAAGTGCGGATTCTGGTGGTTGTTTAAGTGGCGAGTGACATTCTGGTGATGAATGTGGTGGTGATTGCGTGTCTTGTGAGGTGGCAGTTTGGTCGAGTTCTGGGGCTTCTGGTGGAAGGTCTCGTGGTACAGTATCAGGTGCAGTCATTGGTGGGGGCGTAGGTGGTGTGGCCATGGTGATGGTTTGGTTAGTGATGTTGGTGTGAGGCTGATCAGACTCTGTGAGTTGTGGTGTGGGAAGGACTGCCTCATCTTAGTGGTGATGAGTTGTTTGATTTTGAAAAGCAGAGGTATTTTCATAGGGGATAGCCGTCAAAAGTGCACCCTATAACCCTTTTGACCTAGAGGATAGCCGATAAAAATGCAACTGCATGCTCGCGATATTCCAACTAAATATGCCTATTTTACAATTGGATTCTATGAAACATTATTTAAAGTATAAATCAATGCTTTAAATCCTATTTAGATTGTTGGAAACCATTTTTTCTCAAGTAATCATCACCTGCTTATCCTTGTTTTTTTTTGTAACGCAGGCACTTTATTTTTGTGTTCCGTTTCGTGAGCAGTTGCTAGAATATTATTCCAGCAACAAAAGTGCTGGGGATGCAGAAGAAAATCTGTTGACATGCTTGGCGGATTTGTTTACACAGGTAACAACTATACTAGATACATATGGCATTTGTACCTTTATCTAATCAGCAAAGGTGGGATTTGCCATATCAGGGCTGCTCTCCATTTGTTTTTGAACTATTTTTTTTGTTACCTCCTTTCCTTTTCTGGGATGTTACTGTAACTGTATGGCCCTCCCTACTCTGCTGTTCTGCCATGTTTTTGTTACTGGAAAGATTATCGTTTGCCAAATACATGAAGGTGTATCATGGGAATAACAGATTTTTCTTTCCCGTGTGTCATTATCAAATCCTTTTATCTCATATACACGAATGAAGATTGAAGCCAGGAGTACATATGGCTCTTGAATATTGTGCAACAAAGTCTCCAAAGATGTATTGCTAGTTTCTAATTGGTGTTCATGCCATGGAACATATTTCCTTGCCCATTGTTTTAGTCATGGTGCTGGGATCAACAGTTGGTTATTCATTTGTTGTAGATAAGTTCACAAAAGAAGAAAACGGGTGTCATTGCTCCAAAGCGTTTCGTACAAAGATTGAAGAAACAAAATGAGCTTTTCCGTAGCTATATGCACCAGGTATGTCTTTCCTCCTAACAACGAAATGTGTTCTTCTCCTGTGGCATGCAACTTCCTAGAAATTTATATCTGAAACATTGATAATTTTTTTATTTAATAATTGTAAAATAGTATTAATAAGGATATTGATTAGAAAAAATAGCATTATTATCCATTGAAAGCTTGAGCACAAGCCTTGTGAGATAGGCCCTAATAGTATATCCATAGTGATGGCTGCCCTTTGGAAGTTAAACGTAAGTAATTTAACCTTCTTATCCTCGTAAGTTTTGAAGTGGTTTGTAGAATTGAACTGTGATGAAAATTAAATGAAAGAATTGTAAATCGTTGTGTACAGCAGAGCTGGAACTCTTTGTAAAGGCTAAACTTTTGCGACAATCAGAAAATAGTTGAAAACTCGCAGTTTTGAAGTCTTATAATTGTTGGAGTTTGCTCACGACCTTTTTTTAAATGTTGTTGACATGGATGGCCAAATTTTGCATCTGGGGTTTTTACAGAAGTTTCTTTATAATGTGCAAGGTTTGTGAATGTAGTTGTAAATGCCTTTTCTATTATGCAAATATATATATGTGATGTTCCTCCTGGTCGTTGTTACAATGGTCTCAAAATCTTTCTTTGAATAGTTGAAGAGAATGTTACTTACATATTTCCTGACTTGTTACTAAAATATTTTCAGTTCTTATTTAATTATTACACAAAAATGATGTTACATAAGTGTAAATGTTTTCTATCTTTTTCATTCTGGTTTTGTAGGATGCTCATGAATTCTTAAACTTTTTGTTAAATGAACTTGTGGACATACTGGAGAAAGAAGCCCAAGCTGCAAAAAGTGATCAAGAAACTTCTTCACCTCCTGAAAAAATGGGAAATGGTCCGAAGAATGTTCAGGCCAATGGTACTCATAAAGATCCCTTAGTTACCTGGGTGCACAAAAATTTTCAGGTGATCTAGCTCTTAAAAGTCATATAAATATACCAGTTTCCTTGTGTTTAATTTTTAAGTTTATGTGATAAGATCACCACGTTCCTTTCATTTGCATGCATGTATGTATTATACTTTGTTGAATTGCTTGCTCGTTTTTATATAAGACATTTTGCCGAGATTCTGTGTCATCTGTAATCGATGAATTAAGGGACACTTTGGAAGCGGTCCGTAGTCAACTCACCTTCTGTAGTCAACTCAAACTTTAGACCAAAACCTTATGTGTTCTAATTTTTTTATTCAAGTCCTCAACTCTTAGGACACCATGCCATTTGTCTTTTTCATTTCAAAACTGTTTTTGATATCATTTAAAGCAATTTAATCTAGCAAAATTTGTTTTGAAAAATATCTAACAAAGCAATTTAAAGCAATTTAATTCCACAATTTAAGGGGATTTAAAGTCCCACATTTTGTGGCATGTAAAAAGCCTCCCAAGAGCCAAAAATGTTAGAAGCAATGTATAGTTGCATTTTAAAAGAATGTATCCATCCATAGATTTCACACATATATAATATGGGTACAATTCCAATAATCATGGGTACATATAATGAATTAATATACCGATGTTAGTATGGGTAGATTCTGAATGATCGATCAAAAGGCTTATGGATACATAACCTACAACAACAACAACAACAACAAAGCTTTTTCCCACTAAGTGGGGTCGGCTATATGAATCCTAGAACGTCATTGCGCTCAGTTTTGTGTCATGTCCTCCGTTAGATCCAAGTACTCTAAGTCTTTTCTTAAGGTCTCTTCCAAAGTTTTCCTAGGTCTTCCTCTACCCCTTCAACCCTAAACCTCTATCCCGTAGTCACGTCTTCGAATCGGAGCGTCAGTAGGCCTTCTTTGCACATGTCCAAACTCATTTTGTGTACGTGTTGATGCTTCACCGCCCAACATTCTTTGCCATACAGCATCGCCGGCCTTACTGCCATCCTATAAAATTTTCCCTTGAGCTTTAATGGCCTACAATGGTCACACAACACGCCGGATGCACTCTTCCACTTCATCCATCCAACTTGTATTCTATGGTTGAGATCTCCATCTAATTCTCCGTTCTTTTGCAAGATAGATCCTAGGTAGCGAAAACAGTCGCTCTTTGGTATTTCCTGATCTCCGATCCTCACCCCTAACTCATTTTGGCCTCCATTCTATGGATACATAACCTACAAATGAAAAAAATATTGTACCCATTACATAGTACTCTGAATCTGTGTGTTTTGTATATATACAATTGGTTATTTTCCAAATGAGTAGTGCATGAAGAACATTGAGAGAGGGCAAAGGAGAGAGAGATGAATACCCAGCTTTGAATACCAATTGTTTTTCAACAAAGAAATTTGAAAATAAATTAGTTATTTATTTGAATTTAAAATTACAATTTTTAAGTTATAAAATAAAATAACTGACATGAAAATACTTATGTGTACAAAATCCAGGGACTTTGATAAAAAAAAAACTGAAAACTAATAAGGCTTCAATCTTAGAGCATTGGTAACTAAGGATCGAAACCTAATTTTTCCTTGAATTAACCATGTTACCAGGTTGCACACTTTATCTTTACTGCTCCTTTGTCTTATCAAAACAATCAGTAGGGTATCTTTACCTTTACCTTTACCAGTTTGCAAATGCCTTATCTATTCCACAAATTTATAAATGTGATGTTCCTCCTGGTAAATTTATATAAGCACAATGGTATCTATGGTAATGCTTAATGCTGTGGCCGATGTTTATCTGCTTAGTAACTCATTACCTTTGTATTTTACATTGTCATGCAATAACCGAAATATTGCTCCATGATTCTGCTGCTAAGAATCTCATAATATTCCATGGCTATTTGAGTCAGGGTATACTCACCAATGAAACAAGGTGCTTACGGTGTGAGACAGTGACTGCAAGAGATGAAACATTTTTTGACTTGAGCCTGGATATTGAACAGAACAGTTCAATAACGAGCTGTTTGAAAAACTTCAGTTCCACAGAGACATTAAATGCCGAGGACAAATTTTTTTGCGACAAGTGCTGCAGGTGGATCTCCTTCTCTCAAATTTTCTTCATATTCTTTCTTTTGTTAATATATGATTCGCACTTTTCTGTTTTCATCAATGTTTTAGAAGGCTCGCCTCAGGGCGCCTAGGTGTCCTCTGAGGCTGGGCATGAGGGTTGCCGCCTCTGTTTTGAGGGAGTGGGCGGAAGGTGTCCCCAAAGCCGCCTAGGCGCGCCTTAGGGGTTTTTTTTTTTTTTTTTCAAACTCCCAAACCCAAATTTTGGGTAGGTTTTAAAATGCCTCATACACCTCTTCCTTGCACTATCGTCTCTTTGCCTTTTTTGTCTGATTTTTTTTTTTTTTTTATATAATGGATGTGTGTGTTGTCTGCGTGCATTGTTATATGTGTGTTCATTGTGCTTTTCATCCTCTATATTATATATATATATATATATATATATATATATATATATAATATGTATATGTATGTGTATATATTTATAATATATGTGTGTGCTCAGGGTGATTATTGATTAATAATCTTCTTATTTTTAATATAATATATGTGTACGCTTAGTGTGTATTAAAAAATTTAGGTCCCGTAAGGCTTCGTCTCATGCCTAGGCCGGGCTATCCCTCGTACACCTCGTCCACATCTCACACTTTTAATACATTGATAAACTGGGGATGGGTTATTACCATAGTACCATTGTGGTTATGCTGGTTTACATAAAGCTCTAAGCATATACTCTAGATAATGTTCTGTAATTTCAAGAGTATTTTGGAAATCAATATCACTCACTACGAAAATTTGAGGTTAACTGTCCATTCTCAAAAGAACAAAACTAAGCAATTGGTAATTCCTAAAATAATAGGGGTCGGTTGCCATGCGTGCATGTATGATAAAATTGGGGGGAAAACTGTTACTTCCATTATTTATATAGCAAGGATTCCCTTGGCCAGCCTGATAGCGGACAAGTTATGCTTTTCATGATATGCAGCTTGCAAGAAGCGCAGAAGAGGATGAAGATAAAAAAGCCGCCTCACATCCTTGTCATCCATCTTAAACGGTTTAAGTACATCGAGCAGCTAGGCCGTTACAAGAAGCTATCTTACCGGGTTGTATTCCCGCTAGAGCTGAAGCTGAGTAACACAGTTGAGGATGTAGAATCTGAGTACTCTCTATTTGCGGTGGTTGTCCATGTTGGTAGTGGGCCAAACCATGGACACTATGTTAGCCTTGTGAAAAGCCATAACCACTGGCTATTTTTTGATGACGAGAATGTGGAGATGATTGATGAGTCTGCTGTGCAAACTTTCTTTGGGTCGGCACAGGAGTATTCGAGTAATACAGATCATGGATACATCTTGTTCTATGAGAGCCTCGGCACCAGTAACAAGAGTTAAGACAACGGCTCGGGATTTAAGATGGTTGGGTATTTCTAATCATTTGGACCTTTTCGCTTCTGTTTTTTTGTTTACCATCTCTCTTTTCTTCTTTTTCTTCCCTTTTCAACCTGTGGCCAGAGCTGTCGAGATGATGATATGGGTTGTGAAAAATGTATACTTAGGCGGTTCGCGTGTACAGCGGATGGTGGAAGCACACCATTCTTTTTTTCCTTTCTTTTTCTTTTTAACAATAAGGAAAAGAGTAGTGTATATGGTGAGAAATTTCAGACAGTATTCGTCACGGTTGAGAACATTAAACACTAGAAATGCCATGAAATCGGAATTTGCTCATCGCCATTTTCTCCTGGTGTACATTTCTTCTTTTCCACGGGTTCAATTGTGCAGGTGTTTTGTTATTGTAGTTTATAGCTTAGTACTTGGTTCTCTTTGCTGTTGGTCAATGAATTGATTTTGACCTGAATCCGATGTTACAGGATATGGCTGTGCAATTTGAATTCGTTAATCAGTTTATGATCTAAATCCAATAATCAAATTTGATTTCGACCTGAATCCGATGTAACAGGATATGGCTTTGCAAATTTCAATTTGTTAATCGGTCTTATGATCTGAATCCAGTAATTAGTGTATATATCATTTTCTGTTGTATGTATAATTTACTAAACTATAATAAGAACAGAGGGGGTGCGGCAATAGTCGAGAAAAAGAGAGGTGTAATTATGAGGGATGTGTTATTCCACCCTATTGTGCCTTTATTTATAGTAATAGGGAAGGTTTAGTCCTTACCCTAATAAGATTACAACTCTAATAGGATAATATCTAACCCTAGAGAATATTCTAAGATATCCCTAGATATATTAAATTTACACAATCACATTCCTAATCTAATAGGACTGCAACCACTTTCCCTTGAGTGTGTGAATACTCAAACAAATGGCGCATTAGGTCTTCAGCGATGAAATAAGTACAGTCGATGAAGTCGTCGGCACAATGATTGAATGCGAATTTCAAATCAACGAAAGAATGTATAAAAGGTAAAACTCACAAAACCTCGCTATGGTGAAACCCAAGGTGGGATAAAAACCCCTATACTAAGGAGAAAAGTGAGAAGTTGCATTGAGTCAAAACTAAACGTCTTCTGGACACAAGTAGAAGAGCTCACAAGGGTATGATCAGCCCAGGATAGGTGCCTCGTCCAAACCTAGTTAGGTAGCAAAAACCCAGTGCGAAAAAATGCTCCTAATCGTAGGGAAAAAGAGTAGGTTAAGATCAAGTGAGTATACTTCTAGATACTCCTCCTGAGTTTGACAAAACTTCCAAATGAGAACCATAAGCATTGCATATGAATAGTTAGGCATACCAATTCCTTGGACAAGCTTCTGGAAGGTTGACTTCAGCAGTGACGTCGTGTAGAGGTCGGCAAGGTTATCTGGGATCGGCTTGCATGACTTCAATCTCTTGATGCTTTGCTGATGTGAATGTAGACGCAATATGTCTTGGCGTTGACTTCGTTGATGTATTATGTCTTGGTCAGGTTGATACATGCGGCATAGTCTTCATGGATCGTCGTTAGGACTCAACGATAGATGAAAACAACAAGTACTTCGAATATGCTCAACATGAGCTCTTAATCGTGTCTCAAGTGTGGCGTAGTGAAGTAAGGTGAGTTTTGGAACAATTCAAAGATTTAGCAACTAAGGTCATATCATGGACCTCCAAGATATTGCGATATCCCTAACGGTAAAGACATAACCATTTGGGGATGTTCCTTGTGCGGGTTTGATAAGTAACCAGCATCAGCATAACAAACAAGGCAAGCATCATTCCGGGGATCAAAGGGGTCAAATCCGCTCGGGATGCATTGGGATTAGCCCAAATCCGTAGTACCCTTCAGGGTAGCAGAAAAACATCTTTAATACCAATTCAGCAGTTATGTGTAAGCGCGATGATGCATCCTTACCAATAGATTAACAACGAAGAAGATGTCCTATCTAATGCAATGAGCTAGGTACAACAAAGCACAAAGTTGAACTCAGATATGGAACTTCATATTCCATAACCTCTTCAAGGGTCTCATTTGCATATAGCTTATGGAAGATCATAGGTATACTCAAAGGTAACACTTTCGGGGTGTAGCTCGACTAGTAGACCAAAGTACCGTCAGAACAACGCTTGAACTTCAGGTCAAGGTATAAAAGAGTTATCCCAAGATCCGTCATCTCAAATTCCATCTTCAGGTGCGAGGCAAGTTTCTCAAGCTCTTTTACTGTCTTAGTGAGATCCATGTCGTGAACATAAATTGTAACTCTAGCAATTCGGAATAAGGCTTCATAGTTTAACACGCAAGGGCGTAATTCATATCCCTGACTGATCAAATAATCACTTAGACATGTATACCACATCTGTCGAATTGCTTCAATCTGTAAGTGAACGCCTTCAAATGAGTTAAGAGTGTGTTCCGTGGTTTAGAACTATTTGAACCAGTCCATGTAATTCTTCGAGAACTTACATATAAATCTTCATAGCAATATCCCCATGGAGAAACACTAACCACATTTCATACTGCTGTTGTCAATCACAGGGCGTTTGAGAGAAACCTTGCGTTGCAAGGTGTGCATCATATCGCACTATTTCATTTATCTCAGTACCTTGGGCAATGTAGGAACGATAAGTCCAAACACACTTTGGTAAGGAATTTAATCTGGATTGTAATTTCAATTGTCCAATCAGTTATACGTTGTCACTAATCAACAAAACACGGTTCGATATCATCGCTTTTCATTTATGTCGGTAGCTACCATATAAGTGAAAACATCATCATTGATAATCTCAGTCCAATTCCATTATCTCATCCAAACTAGTATACTAGACTAAGAACTTCATTAATCTTATGAGATGAAAATGATTTGAGACAGCGATCGAGTATGGATTCATTATGTGTCGTGACCTTCCTCTTCTAAGGAAATGAATCCTATGAATCGAGTGATCTGTCATGCTTCAAGCCGAGACATATTGATTGGTTATCTGCTTGTGTACCGGACCCTCTAACAAGGGCAGCCAAACCGTCCAATAGGAGCGGCACACCCTTCGAGGATGTTGACTTAACATCCGTTAAGTATGTCTATCATTGCAAGCATGTTTGCAGTTGGTATATGATCTCGTCATTTTAGCTAGATCAGAGAAATTCGTCGGGAGAAAGATTCAGAAAGCTAGAATTCATCGCACTTGTGCGGTACGGGGATCGAGATGAGACATAGTGGGCAACATCCACACAAATTCGCATCGTTCTACAGGAACGTTGACGTTCTTATCTCCCCCTAACGGCAAAAAGACTATCTCATTGAAGTGACAATCCGAAAATGAGTGGTAATGAGATCGCATGCAAGGCCTCTAAAGAGCTAGTATGAAGGAAAATCATGATCGACAAAGATTCTCTTCCTTATGTGAGGACCTATATTGGTACGTTGCGGTGGTGCAACTTGACACATGGAATGCAAACCCAAAATGTGTAAATTGAAGCACCAGGTTCATACCTAGCAACAAACTGTAATGTCAAAAATGGTTGGGTGGCAATGGGCCTCAAGGCAGACCAACATAGCTGCATACAAGATTGCATAACACTAGATAGAATCCGAAAGCTTGGTGCGTTTACCAATGTTCAGGCAATTATTGAAATTGCGCTTTATGATTGCTCTGCGAGCCTATATTAGGGTGAATATGGGAATTCGATGTCTAATTACAATCCCAAAAGAAATGCAATATTTATCGAAACATCTTTGATATAAACTCTCTGGCATTATCCAATCTTCTAGACTTTATGGGATAAGTAGGGTGGCGAACCCTTAAAATTGGTCAGGAGGTTTAGTAGCAATGTGTGGACAAACATGTGATCAGTTTGTCGATTCATCAGCCAAAACCATAAGTATTTATATGGTCTGCATTTTGGTTAGATTAGTCCACATATATTCTATCCACTGTGAAAAGAGGGTCGTTTCATATCTTTGCTAGGGATGATTTAGAAATCAACTTCCCAACGAGTATGCTTAGGAAAGTGTACTTTTAGGCACAAGATCCTTACTTCGGGTAAGAAGATGCGATGTGGCATCATTGTTCGACCTAAGTGTCCCAAAAGGTCGTTTCAAGACAAGTAAACTGCTCAATCACCAAGTTCTAGGCCGGCCACATGTGGCGTGTTCCCAGTTGGAAGGCAGCCCATTGGCCCTAAAATAAAGCTTCAGGCTTATTTTTGGAGGTGGTACAAAGATATTCTACTCTATTTTCCATCAGTGGTTTCATTCATGATCATTGTCATCTCGAATATCATTAAAACTCAACAACATTCTTTCATAACGGGGAGAATATAAGGTCTTTAAATGGTAATTTAGTATTATTCATACAACGAGGAGCATGCCAATGATCTTAATCAAATTGGATAGACTTGAAGTTATTGCTAGAGATGTGATTTTAGGTATAAAGTTAGTGTGCGTAGTATCTCATTCATCCAGAATACTAACTTTCCCATATTCGAGGACAATATCGATAAGATTATCCATAACTAAAACAAACACCAAATGTGAATCCAAGAACATAGAAAAATGTTCACAAAGTAAACCAAGGTTACTAAGGTGGATTCGGCCAACATGGTCATTCATGTCAATATTCTGCTTTTCCAACGGTGTTTGCTGGAGCAAAATTAGTCTCACATATTGACTACTAGAATGGTACTCCTCAACAACATTGGTAGAGCCATAAACAGGTGCATAACCAACGATCGATTCCATCGAGATGGAAGTAGATTTTACAGGGTTGAGGTTCGAGAACAATATCCCTTATTCTTGAAGTTTTAGATCTTAGGTGCTAAGGATCACGCTTCGGGCATGATGCCACACCTTGGCAGGCCTTGAATTTGACAAAGATAGACCTATGCTTGGATTCGGTAAGCTCTAGCCGAAGCTGGAGGGGTCTATTCAGTAGGCCTCTGCTGAAGCATAGCACTACCATTCGGTGCACCTCTGCCGAAACGGAGCATGCCTTTCGATGCATCCCTGCTGAAACAGGGCATCACCATTCGGTAAACTCCAGCCAAAGCTGAGTCTATACCGTTTTCTCACATTTATGGTAGTAATCAAATTCGAGAATTTGGTAAACTTCCACTCTCTACACTACTGCTTCAGAAGCAAGTTAGAAACATAGAAGGATGAGAAAAAATATTCTCCAGTCAAATTCGATCAGATTTATAAACTTCAAAGTTGTATTCATTCATGGACGTAATCATGGTGTGCTTTAGGCAATATCTTTCATGATTAAATGGTTCGTGGAGGCGAGCCAAAGAGCAATGGAATCCTCGTCTGAGAGGTATTTTCGTTTGTAACTTCG